CTAGTCAATACAGTTATAACATAATACAAAATCTAATAGGGCCTACAATACCTTCGCCTCCTCCTAGCAGATTCAGCCTCTTGAAGAAAAGGTATGCACAGCAAAACAGCAACTAATAGGTGGGTTGCAGAAATCCTCATCACATTTGTTACAAATAGATAAACTTTATAGGCACAGGATGACAATAGGCTTACAATTACATAAATTTTAAGTAATTAAAAAACTGTGACAAAAACAAATAAATTAACAAATAAATAAACAAGATTAGAGATCTCTCACAAGTTATGAAGAATTGATTTCTAAATGATTTTAGCTCAATTAAATCAATTGTAAACTTCGATAAACGAGTATACAGCAATACTAAATCATGCCACGATATAAATCCGTTTTATCTACGGTTACCTAACGGACTAACCTATCTGCATATGACCGGTTAACCGCGGCATGTTCAGATGTTCGCTACGTATTTATGAGCAATCGACCACTTTCTTATGCAGCCGTATCCAAATATAAAACCGAAAGGCACGTGGAACTACATCGACAAAACATATACTAAATCTGTAATCTTTAAAATTAGACGCCTTACAAAACAAAGACTAGACTATAACTAGCAATAAGCTGCTTACAATCTCGCATTCGGCGTAAGGTTTCCCATCTCTAGACAAATATTAACTTTCGGCACGCGACGAACGTTGAAAAGCGATGAAATAACGTCAATTTCTCCCTTCAATAAATCCTCGCAATGCGAGAAATTCAAATTCTTGCCAGCGAATTAATCTCCCGGAAACACTACAATAAAACGATTAGGTTTATTTTTCACCTGCAGGCGAATAAATAATAAGTATTATCCATGAGTAATGTTTGTAAAATCCAGCTGACATTCGAATCACCTTGCAAACGCGACGTAACAAAACTGTCTATCAAATGAGCTTGATTTCTATTTCACACGACTCGAGGCGAGAAGCGAGCACGCGTGAAACACGTTGTCGCTGTAGTTTATTGTTATGTGACAAAATCGTTTTGTAAATTTAATTACTATTTCAATCTTTTCGTCTTAGTGCGAGTAATTTTGTCAATTTTTCGCCTCTATAAATATGAAATTCAGGAAGGAAAATTAGTCTTCTACCTTCAACATTTTACTTTTAAATTGGTACAGTTGGAAAAACTTTGCAGCGCATCGCATTGGCTCAATTTTGTAGTAAACAGGCAAAATCCCACTCGTTGTATGCAAAACACCTTTGTCACCGATGATCAGTTTGTGCCACCAACACTTCATGGCTCGATTTTTATACCACCGAAAAATACGAGATAAATGACTATTAAATGAACGTTTGAAAGCGCAGATTTCTCTCTTTTCGAAAAAAAAGAGAATCAGATTCTGCTGTCACTTTTGAACACCATAGTTGACCCGAGGTTAAGCCTCTTTCGCCACCAGATAAAATTATCGTGCCATTTCACGAGAGGGATATGAAAAGAAATGACAATACTCGCAAATATGCAACGCTTAAATTGTCATGAATGGTTTTTATCACCGTTTCAAACAGTGCTTAAACACTATTTTACCGCAAATAATGACTCGTCGAATTAGCAAAAAACATTTTTTTCCGGCTGAAAATTATATCTTAACTTGATCCTATATGTTTTGTAAATGGTTGGGTCGACAACGAACAATGACGCACTTTCCAGTTGGTGGCAATACTATTTTTTTTTACGCTTGATACCAAAAGCTACCCGTCTGTCAAATAATTGATTGAAAGGGCAAGAACATTTTCGGAAAAGACTGGTCGGACGATTTTCAAACATGTAACCCACTTCGTCAGTTGACGTTACTCATAGAGAAAGTCAATTCGAAAATTTTTCACCATGCGTGATCGCTTGAATATTCAAAGTATGACTTTCACAAGAAACTTACAATAATAAACAATTGGGATTCATAGTCAACTAATTATAACTTACTCATGAAACAGCGACAGCGTTTAGGCCATCGTTCAAAAACTTAACTGCATACCAGAAGTTTGTGTAATGGCAAAATGTCAATTCAGTTAAGAGTTCTACACATATATATATATATATATAAGGCGCATATTTTCTTACTATACATTCTTACTTTAAATCACATGGTTAGAT